TTATCAGAGACAAACTGTTCAATCTTAAACAGCCATGATAAACCTGGGTCATCAGGTTAGAGCTTAGTGGCTCCTAGCTGCTTGGAGTTTGATGCCTTCTGACCTCTTTACTTTGTTTTCTACTTCTCAGACATTCAAAAAAGTTAAAGAGTAAAATCAATAAACTGGACTTTATTTTCCAAGTTTGAAGACTTCCCATTCAGGTAGCTTCTGGATTAGCGTGGAGTTCCAAGCTTTTTTTGTGTGTTTTTTTAAACCTTGTAAAGGCTTAAGCATAATGAAACTGAAATCAGCTGCACCCCTTAATAATCGGAGTCGTTGAGTCCACAAATGAGTCCACCCCCTCTGTTTAAGGTCGGTCTTTCTCCTTTGACATAAATGGCTTCCTTCACGTCCCTCTCAAACCACCGGTCTTCTTTGTCCAAAATGTGAACATTAGGTCCTCAAAGATAAAGAAGACAGGTGGTTTGATAGGGGCGTGAAGGAAGCCATTTATGTTAACCCATTTAGGCCGGGAAAGCATTACCGCATTTCTACCATTCAAGCCAACAATGACCCTTAACGACTGCCTTTTCAGAGGAATGGGCCAGTATCACGTATTGCAGAACAATAGGACCTCAAGCTGGTTTTCCAGTTTCAATCTGCATGTTTTCTAAGCCGTTACAAGGCTTTTGCTTGGAACTCAACGCTATTTATGACATTTTGAATTGAAAAATCTTCATGGATGGGAAGAGAGATGTCTTCAAACTTGGAAACAAAGTTCATTAGATTATTTTTTAACTTTTTGGAATGACTATGACCTGGATGACTGAGAATCTCCACCAGCACTTCTCAAACATGAAAGCATGAGCTCCTAATGTGTGACATTAGCGGGTCGATGAAGGCCAAAATCAAAGGAAAAACAAGCAGTTCGTCTCTTATCAAAAGTTAGAAACTTTATCAGCTCTGCTTTATGCTTAGAATACAGCATCACTGAACAAATCTGAGGAAACTACACAAATCAAGAAAGGTGGAGAGCCGGAGGCTAGACTGTAATAACACATAGTTAGGTTGTTTAGCATGTGAATACGGTTAGAAAAAGCTACGTTACCCTAAAAGAGAAAAGTGTCTGTGAAGGAAGCCGAGAAAACTTACCTGTAAAAATGTTCCGTATCAGTGGAGAATAAGCAGGGACCAAAACAGAGACAACATACAAACGTTAGATCAATGACAACACATTAGGTTAGCTAGAAAAAAAAAAGCTGGCTTTGAAGGATCCACAGGCCCCCTTACCTACATCCAGGGTCCTGATGCAGGACCCTGGATGTAGCATGAAGCAGAGCATTGGTTTGAGAACGCTTCTGGTTGCCCTGGGTTCCTCTAAGCGGCTAATTTATCACAGCACTGCTATTACTAAAGCTAAAGGATGATTGGAGAATCTAGACCAGCTTATTTTTAGCATAACTGAGGTTTTATTTCTTCTATTAAAAGAGCATTGAATGTTGCAACCAGCATGCTAGCAGAAGTGTTTCTAAGCAACAGACAAGTAATCAGGTAGAATCTGAATGTTTCATTCACTATTACAGCGG